CCAAAATCTTTTTTTCAGCTGTCCAGAACGATATCCCAGAGTCTAAAAGACACGCTTTTTTTCTGTAGACGGCCCGTTATTATTGTTTTCCTTAGTTTAATTTGATTATTCTTATCTATTAGGTCACGTTACTTAAGTTGTACTGTCACTGATCAGAAAATATCTTTATTTGTCGACACTTGAAGTTAAAATGTTCTGCTTGGTTCTCATTTATAGTTGCCAGCATCAACTTTGGCACGATCCAAACGTTTTCTAAAAGCATTATTTAGCACTGCCTTCAGTAAAGAAGGAAGTACTCACAATTCAACAACATGTAACTAACAAGTGGACAATCTAATTCAACTAGAACAGACACAGGACATAACTTAGCAAGGACATTTAGTAACTAGCCCCTAATTTTGAATATTGGAGCAGTAGACGCGGAGCACTGGTGAAGTTCTGCCAGGAGTAATGTCCCATGCAGGTGTGCAATGATGGCCTTTGGCTAGTAGCATATATGCATAATAAAACAGAAACGACAATTCAGTTGCTGTTGCAGCTTATACATCGAAGTTCTAGCTGATGTCCTAAATTATCGGTTCATTGAACCTTAATTTGCAGTGATAAGCTCAGTAATGATGAAAGCGGGCTCTAGACTGTTGTGCTATTTTACTTGCATGACCAATGCTTATATTTACTAGCAATGTAAACTAAGCAGTTGCTCCTTGAAGCTAGATCGGGTTAAATGGTTTAACTTATAGCCTTACGAAACCTTGTTCGAGTCATTGAATTCTAATATGACGTCCTTTAATCTAAGTGATTCTGTGTCAACGTCTTAATTTCGAAAACGCCACCTCAGAATCTAGCATGCTGTTGAGAATTCGCGTCCAAGTAGACCAACTTATTTTTTCCTCATTCGATATCTTTGCATATTATAGACTAAGCCGGTCCTGTTATCTGAGCAGATCATATATACCATGTGCTAGCATTTCCCTACACCGTAACACATACGATTTGTTTCTGACGGATGTGCATTTCTTTAGAAGCAGACCGCGACTGATGTTATTATTACGTCTTAAAACGTACAATTATACGTCTTAAACAAGAAATGTCTGTATAAACGGTTGAATTCATAGAGCTGTGCGTGTTGTGTACTATATAAACACAGCGTAATTAATACTGCAAGACGATAATATGTGTATATATATATATATATAGAAACAGAGTGCATGTTTTTTGCCTTTAATTGTGTTTATAGACTTTCCTACTCCTTTGTAGGCTATGTCCATTCGTTACCTATGCTTCTTATGGCCGCGAGTAATACCTCTTCTGGGATAAGCCATTCGGTATCGTTAAGTATCAAAACCAACTGTTTTTTTTTCTCTACGGTGATTACTAAACGCAAGAGCCAAGAATTCTCGCTCATCAATAGAAGCTTAGACATAGCCACTATTTATAGCCGACGATGTACCAACGCGATCAAATCGATAGAGGATTCGTTTTGTCCTCTGCCTTTTTGATACTTTGCATCTAATAGAACGTCGCGATGAGTTTCGTCACAAGGCCGAACACCTGCGCTGCACGATCAGATAGCGATCGATCTATAATAGTTATCGTAACGTCGTAACCAGCACTGCCAACTGCTAGCGCTGATATCGGGGTCAAAGATCGTACGAATTGTTTCGTTTCAATATCTGTTTGTCGTAGGTAGGACTTAAACGGTCACATGCCAGCAGAAGATTTGCCGATATACTATTCAGTGATCAATCGTGTTCGATCGCCAGCAGCAGGACTGTACCATACCACTGCGGTTGGCGTACAAGATTATTTTGACGTTCGTAAGTCCCAACAGCAGAAATCGTGGTCAGCATCTGTCACGGTTCAAAAATAAGTCACACACACCATGATCACCCTGATGCTACTTGACAGAGGTCGAAGGGCTACGAGCACAAGCTGAAGGCGGGAACAATTTAAAAGTCAAATATAAACAATTCTGTTTTTTTTGGCTCGTTTTAAATAATAAAATTTTGGCGCCGCCATTGTTTCCGAAAAAAATGTTTTAAACCGACAGTAGCCGATTTTCAACGAGTGTCCTATAGTTTTATAATGCACGAAGCGTATGTACCGAAATCACGTTACAGCTTCAAATCACAAAATTTTCTCCGAAACATTTAGGTTTTCCGAAACTACTTAGCAATCAAACAGCTAGCTATGGAAGCCTTGCCATTAACACGATAACGTTTTTTCGTATTGATATCATCGTAAAACCGTATAGATCGAGAAGGCATATAGAAAAATATCCTATAAGATAATGCTTCGCTTAGGTATCTATACTCGTACGAAGAGGAAAAGCAGTATATTTACCGGGTGCAGGATGTGGAACAGGAAAAAAAAGCTAGACTTGCAGCTTCGTTTGGCGGTGCAGTTATTTCGTCACCTACTGTTTCGCCGTGGTTTACCGCATTCTAGGTTAATCGTCGCTGTCATATTTTCATTAGACGTGGCGTTTTTTTGCCACCCCCATAGACAATTAGCACCTATCGGTGAAAAATGTACCCTTTATATCCGTAGCCAGGTAGAAATCTCTTCAAGAAAAAGCTATGCCTTATTGACTCGTCAGCGGATAAATCTAAATACATACCTTTGCCTTAATCATGAGTTACTTCAATAGGCTGTAAAATAACTGTGACCGGCGCAGGGATCGCACGTACGATTTTCGCGTTACCAGCACGATGCTCTTACGTACCCAGCTAGTAGACCTTCCAAAAACCACTAAACAACCATTTTTAATTTCGGTTGTGAGCGTAATTGTGCCACGCGATATTTTCATAAGGCAATTTCTTTCTTGACTGCAGAAATTGCATAGAAGCGATATCGCGTTAAACGAGTCACATATGGTTTTAGTACGTTCACGTAGAAACAGCTACGCTAATGTAACACAGATCCCGTCTACTTCTAATCGATGACTTCGTTCATTAAAATTTAGATAGTACCTCCGACCCGGATATGTACTACATAGCATTAAAAATATAGCATTTGCAATATAATAAAAACCCATGAAAAATCTCTAGTGTATTTCCATAGATCAGAGGGCGTAAGTTTTAATGAAGCGTTTATTTGGGCTTCTGCTTAAATGGCTAATGGTTAAAGAGCAACGCCTTGTGTTAATAGAGTGTTGCCAATCTTGTCTACGGTAGTTCCGCAAAACTATTATCTTTATCTCATTTTGCTCCTCTTTGCACGTATAAAAGGTTAAATTTGAATGCGAAAAAATTTCGAGTACAGTAAATAATCGGCCTCAGTTGTCTGCCTCGGGTGAGATTCACCCGTGGCCACCTGCGTATATAGTCTTTGTCTTCACAACGACCTTCCATCCGGCTTTATAACTATCGATAGACAATATAATAGTTTATAGTGCCGTACATTTTAATATATCAATCCTTTAGCAGGTTGGATACGTTCGTAACTACGTAGTGGTATCTTTTTCTGAACCCATCTTCACTCACCTACACGACTAGGCACATGAAAAGCTTAATTGTCGGTATAAACAACCAAAATCTGCTGCTTTTGTGTAATTTACCTTTATCGATTTAGAAATATTTCAACTTATCTCTTCTGCAATTATTTCCTATACAAAACGTTACCTTTACAACTGAAGTTTTATCATAGAATGAAACACCATTTCAATGCCATACAGGCCATCGAATATTTGGTAATGTCGACGCGTTCTCTAGATGTCTTATCAATTTTCCGAAGTCCACAACCTTTTAATATAACGAATTAAGAGGCAAAGATTGAAATTGTTACTTTACGCATATAACCTAGTTGTCTTCCTTTATTTTTTTCTACGCCTCTCTGCGAATGTCACTATCTCCGCTTACGAGCCTCAAGCTGTGTGTTTTTGCGCATGTAGTTATGTACAAATCCATTTGACCGAAATAATCCTATCTCGTAATAACGTTTTTGATTGCGCAATGGATCACCAGTTGCCGGCGGCCCCAGCAGCCAATCGTTTTTTACGCACTATGTTATTCATGGTTCGAAGAGGGACTGCGCGCTGGTTCACTCTCGAACTCCTGCGGCAATCGCCATCGTTTGCCCCGTTGGTCAGTAGTGCAGGCAGTGACTTTAGTACATTGGGGCAACAGACGGTTACGTAGTTTTCTGTCGCCGGACGTATTTTTTGGCCTCCTTTCTGTTTTTGCGGTCGCAATTAAAGTTATAGCCAGAGCAGTAAACGAGGGCGGATGGTGGGCAGATGAGGGAGGAACAGACCCTTTTTGCCCCTCGTTCTCGCCATCGACACTCTGTTTCTCCTGTGGTGACGATTCACACTGCTTTTGTTTGTTTGCAATAACTTTCAGTTTCGCTTTCAATAAGATTTTCTTACCCTCGCCACATTTTGTTGCGCGCCAGGTTAAATAGATCACTGGCAGCGGCCGGAGCTCGAAGACGCCGTAATTCAAATCAATTCACCGCTACTAAAATTTATCACCATTGCTATCGCTACCGGTAAGCAACCGCCGCCCAGGACAACAGCCAAGTGACCTTATCCAGGTACTCGCTGGCGACGAGGTAACACAATAGGAATGAATCTACTATAATTGATTATAGATCAATCAAGCTAAATTGTTATCGATGTGCAGTGAAACCACTGTGCGCCCACGTGACGAGCGGCGGATCGCTACCTCTTCAATATTAGAGTTCAAAAAAATGAAGCTTTTGTTGTTTCGGAACTATTATTACTGGGCATGTTCCTTCATACGTCATTTACGTGAAATTATATTTATTACTAATAATTAAGTTGTGATTGTTTTTAGTGTTTTCCGTTAATATTTTTCACATCTCTTATGTTTTAGCCAATATGAGGTGGTTTACACCATCCCTCACTTTCGCTCTATTTTTGGAATTAGTGTGTTTACCGTCACAAATGGATACTTTTGGACTGACGAAAGGTTTTAGAATACTCTCGCCTCTGACATTAATCGGAGGAGCCGCTGGAGCTGGGAGTCTGGCTGGGGCTTTCTTAGCGTCCCGCCATAAACATAAATCTCACCGTTGTAACCATCACGTCAAACACATACACTACCATCCGTAAGTGAAACGTCAATTATTATAAACTGTTACTGCATCTGATCATGGCGCGTCATACTATCATCGATTTTCCAGCTAGTAAACGCTATTTCTGCATTTTATAATATCTGAACGCGCGTTACAGAAACCAGTCTATTAGCAACTAAAGAAGTACGATTCATTTGAGCCAGTATACTAAATGAGACCTATCTAATATTCTCAAACAATTATCACATATGTGAAGAAAGATGAGTAGGTATCTACTCATGTGCGAACACCCTATCATCTCTTTAATATCCCAATCTCAAACCCTGTTTACTCCTCTCTATGCAAGTTTGATAAAGTATATAAAACAACATACATATGTACTGTTCGTTCGTTCACTCCTCACTTATAGGGTCCATCGCATCAAGTACTTCCATTATGTACCGTAAGTATACGCTACTGCAATAGTTATTCACGTTTAAGTTTAATAGAAATTATTGTACGCAGTTAAGCTAACCGCTACTTTCAAATCGGCATTTACAAAGTCCGCCTGTCGATTATACCCTTTTCGCTCGCTTTATTCCACGTCTATTTCATTAGAAAACACCTAACTATATGGCCTATTGTGATGACCCAGAGGCTTGCAGCTGCAACGTTTAGGCGCCGTTCATTGGTGCATATTACTTTTTGGTTTGTTCTCTTTTTTGACCTATTTAGAATTCATCACGCATGGAATGACGATGGTTGGCATGGGAACGTTGGCGGATCGACTGACAAATGGTACAGTCGATGGTACCACGGATACAAGCTAGACAGCGGCTATGGATGGTGGTAACATGAACGTGATATGCTGACTGGCGACTGATCTAGCAGCATCCCCCATACGCCGCTTAGAAGGTGCGCCAATACGTTGTTTTTCGGGGGTAAATGAGTGGTGTGAGAAGCTAAGTGAACATGGCCGAGTGAAGTGAAAAGTAGGTCATCCATTAGATTGTTAAGTTTGTGTCGAACATGTAAAATTGCCAAGTGGAATAAATTCGATCAGCTTGATCGACCTCGTTTGATGTCAACAACAATAGAGAAAATTATTAGGCTAGAAGATATCGTGCCGGTCACTAGACGTAAATTGATTGCAGCTATGTGATCGTAAGGGTCAATATACTCAATACAAAACAAGCTTTTAACTACCTGGGTGGATAAATTGCCGATGGCACGGCAGTCTGCCGTCAACCGCACAGCGTCTGCGCAGACTAAAAGAAAAGGAGCAGTACTGCGGAGAAGAATTATATTCAAAACTGTCGAATCTTCTACACAACATAGTTTAGTAAACAGGTTTTTGTATTGGTTGGTGCCGGAAGTGACTAAACTTTGAAGGAAAAATGTAAATACGATACTGATAGTGTGTTTGTGTGTGCCTAGGAAAAATCTGCATAAATGATTAGAAAAAAATGAAAAACAATACTTGGTAAACACGTCAATACGTAAACTCGCTGTGAATAAAGCGTTTTTAATTATATTGAAACTATTTTCTTTTGATAGTAAAAAGTATATTGGACTCTCTTTGTTAACTGGCGTGAATCCGATAGAACAGAGGCTTACCTAAGATCATTCCGATGCTGTATTTAAAATAAAAGGTTGTTTCAAGGGTAATCATCCGCGTAAGTTAATTGTATTTTTTGTTCTGTAAATATCATACATTATTCAGATCCTTTTACCAACGACGCATAAATACAAAACAATTTGCGTCCATAAAGTAACATCATTCTCAGGCAAATGGGTTTAATTTTTACGTATGCTTAGGTCCAGTCGAAGTGAGAAACAGTTCCAAAAAGTAAATCTGATAGGAAGCCAATATAAGCTTAAACTCGCAAATGATTTGTAAAAGGTAGCTGTTGCGGAAACACGCGTTTCAAATCTAAAAAATTTTGTGGCCCACGCAGGGATCGAACCTGCGACCTTCGCGTTATTAGCACGACGCTCTAACCGACTGAGCTAGTAGGCCACGCGGTGTACTACCCGTGTACCCTTTAAGTCTGTGAATATTTTAAAGGAAAACGTCATCTACCATGTTACCTTACTATCAGTATCTTAATGAGTTTCAAATCGTTAAGGATGTTTACATTAAAAAAAAACTCGTCACGTTAATGTCTTAGCATAGCTTGATACGTTACTTGGTTTACATAACTAAATAAAAAGCATGTAGACAATGTAAGAGCCCTGTACTAAGTGCAAGTGGAAATTTCATATCTGAATTCCTCCGATAACCTCCGATAACATCGCTATTATCAATAGCAGATATAGTTAATAGGAGAAAAAAATATCAATATATGTAAATGTTTGATATATGTAACCTTAATTTCAACGCTTTCAAATGACACGATCTTCAGGTTTCTAAGACACAACGAGCAATACGTTCACCGGTTTTGTCATGGAATCTCTGTGCTTCATAAATCACGTATATTACTAATGTACAAACTGTTACAAGTTACATAATGTTAAAAGGAGAAACAAATCAAGAAGCAAGTTGAGCAATGCGTTTTTCCTACGTTAAATACTGCAGACACTAGTTACCTCTAGAATGTGGTACTATAACGTAAGTATTACATTGTGTAATATTAGATATGAATCACGCCATGTGCTGTTCGAAGGTCGAGGTGCGATATGCACCTGTTGCCTGTCAAATTTTACATAAATAAATGTTTTTAACCCAATTCCTAACACAACCTTTAAATACAGAAACTTCAATATTTTTGTTAATTTTTTATCAAGTGAATAACGATGAGGGATAGAATGAAAAACGTTGATTAAATATAAATATATATAAAAATAAATATGTATATATTATAAAATTCAGTTCAATGCAAACAGATAAATTTGAGGCTACTCCGAGATTTCAACTCGGATCGCTGGATTCAAAGTCCAGAGTTCTAACCATTACACCAATAAACCACGTTTAAGTACGCCAACAATCGAAATCTGGATCTACTGTCCCATGAGTATGATATATGGCTATTAGCCATAAAGCCATCGTTCAATTGACGCTATAATGGTTAACACTCTGGACTTCGGGTCCAGCAACTCTAGTTAAATTTTGGTGTAAACCTTAAAAGATCCTTCCATACTTTGCGTACCGTATATACACATATACCGCCGTACACAAGTACTGTAACGTTTTACTTTGAGATCCTATTATTTTAATAGGCTATGGTCTACGTAAGGCCAGATTTCAACTGTCGTGGTGGTTCCATGGTGTAACGGTTAGCACTCTGGACTTTGAATCCAGCGATCCGAGTTCGAATCTCGGTGGAACCTTGAAAGGACCGACTGAAGCGGTTGTTTCAATAAACATACATCGTAGCGTGTTTTTACTTGGTAATGTTTTTCTTTGTGATCCTAAGGATTTTAATTTTAGGGACCCGTAATGCTGTAGGTTCGAATCCTGACATAGACGCAATTTGTTTCGTGCTGGGAGCCACCCGTCTGCTGGAATCATTAACGGCGATGCCGCACATAGAACTCGAAATATAGAGAGACCATTACGTATGAGTGGTTATAACACATGGCCATCACACATGAGGTCAGTGTTCAATATATATATATATATAAACAAAGCTATATATCTAATAACTATAAATCAAAACCGTGGTTCCATGGTGTAACGGTTAGCACTCTGGACTCTGAATCCAGCAATCCGAGTTCGAATCTCGGTGGAACCTTCGTAAGCGCTACTGTACTTTCCGTACAGTATACATTCACCGTAGCAGGTAAATAGGGTGGTATTTTACTTTTAGACCCTGAGATTTTAATCTTAGGGTTGTGGTCTAGGTTCGAATTCGGGTGTTGAGCCAACATCTGATGCAATGTTTAACGGCAATACAGGACGTAAGACCCGAAACATAGAGTGACCACACTGTGCGAATGGCTATAATACATGGCCAGTAAACACGAAGCCAATGTTCAATTGGCGGTATAATAAAACAGTGGTTCCATGGTGTAACGGTTAGCACTCTGGACTCTGAATCCAGCGATCTGAGTTCGAATCTCGGTGGAACCTTGCAAGACATTTCCATAGTGTACGTACAATATACGTGTATTGTAATAAGTGTCGTAATGTTTTATTTTTAGACCCTTTTAATCTTAGGGACATGTTGTGGTCTAAATTGGAATCCGGCTGTTGGAAGCCACCGTCCGATGCGACTTCTAACGGTAATGCCGGACGTAAGACCGAAAACATAGAGAGACCACACCCGCTTTTATAGCGCTCCAACCATTAGAGTAGTCCACATTAAAAGTAAACATTTATTGGCATTACTAATTGTTTCGCTGCCTCGCGTATGGATTTAAGACTAAAAGGGTTTCTATTTGTTCTTACGAACAAAACTGTTCCACAGTGTGACGAACAATCAAATGCTTCGTACCCAAATAAATTCTACTTAAATATTTCTTAGGTTTTGTACGCCTACAAGATGCCTTCATGACAGATCCATAGAGAGTGAATGATGCCATGGTAGGATAGTGCGCATGTATCTACGAATATAAATTTGAATTCAGTCAAACCGACGACCTATATAAGACGTGTAAGAATATGAATAGGGCGATTTATAAGTTATTTAACTTCAAATCATGTATCCTTTACTAGCCTGAACATGGTCCGAGTGGCTAATACGCATCCCTTGAAGTGGCTTGTCATGACAACCATAGACACGCAGTAAGTAAAGGGTAAAGTTACGACTTATCCTTATTATGTCGTTTCATGGGTCTGTCACAAAAAAGCCAGTTGAGTTTATAAAGACCAACACATCCCATAGCCTACAACTGAAAGAAAGAATTATTTGTTGCGACTAGGGACTAAAGCGGTGGTCGCAGTTTTGCCGTGGGTTGCACAAATACCTCATGGTCTGGGTTCGAGGTGGTTCAGTGTACAGAAAATGAAGGCTAAAAATCAGTCGCAAACTGAAAAAAGCTTCGTATTTTATTTTATTAACACACAATGCGATGCGTATAATGATGTTATTGAGTAAGTTTCAAATGTGTCATGTAAGCTATTTTTAAGTTCCATCTCATAAAAATCATTTAGCTCACACAACGATCGAATCCACGATAATGCCGAAATAACTAACTGAGATTTCGCTCTACTTCGGTTCTCCGTGTCAATTTCTGCAGCTCAATGTTTTTACTGTAAAACATTTATGACCAAGTTAACGAAGCAGTAGATATGGAACAGCCAAAAGAGTGCTATGCTATCTCATTAAGCATAAGTAATGGTGGGACTTTTACGTTTAGACCTAACTCCAAAAGCTCATTCATGCACATACGCCTCATTGAGTAAAACAGACACTTAGAATGATGCATCCTTGAAACTTTAGGTAATCGCTGCAAAAAATAAACGATCCGTGAAGAACCGCGTTTAATATTTTTGATTTAATCTTTTTTTTAAATCGAGTACATTGAATATCTAAGCAGTCATGTGAGAAACGATCTTTTTATAACCTTGAAAATTTTAACTGCTCGTTAAATATAGAACGAACGCTTTTTAACGTAAATGCATGCAATGTCAGGCAGTTGTCGCCTTGGAAACAGCGGTTCCATTGATAACTTTAAACTTAATCAAATAATAAAGAATACGTAAAACTTAGCGCAACTTCCCAACGTATTACTGAAGCAACGCAATCCGAAAGGCATAACTACAGTATTTCTACTTAATGCCATATAATTATTGTGTAATTCCGCCATTAAATCAAATAGAGAAGTCCCGAGGGCGAACGATAAAACACACGTTAATTAGTAACGCATCTTCATCATAAATAGACATTTTATTTAATTATAATACATAAGGAAATAAAAGCAGAATTTCTTAAAAGGATACGGATTTTGCTTGCATCGTTATAAGACACGCCTAACTTCCAGACAACAGTGAAGCCTTTCAATTTTGACGTAATAAGGAGTCAATTATAGGATGTAATGCTTACAACTTCATTTCATACCTAAAAAACATTTAGTCCATTTGCTACTTAGTTCTTAAACAAGAGTCTTCAATAAGTATGACTAATCCCTTTACTGTAACGGCATCTCTACCGCTAGATACCAAGTATTCTCTGCTCTTTGTCATCACAATAGGCTTTTTCTTGTGATAGCAAAGTAATGGTTGTTGTTGCAAGGGCAAAAAGTATGGACAACATTCAGTTGTTGTAAATGGTATTAAAAAAAAAAGCTGTCTTCGCACCCAGCGTAGCTTAAGTTATACGATATATATATTATGATGACATCAAATTTATGTATGCAAAACTACAGGTATAAGTACGCCCCAATATTACAAGTGATAAAAATTAACGCATAACTGTAAATGTTGCATTTTTCTCCAGTGGTTTCAACAACTTGAAAAAACAACAGCAAATTTCGATATCTCGATCACAATCGGCCTTTCGATGATCTATTAGCCCAATTTATGATATGATAGTAGCAATGCGTACTCCTATGCAAGTTATCCATGCATATATATATATATATTAGTTAATGCCCGTAGCCTGACCTACGTCAACTCTTTCCCACGACACAACGTTGCTTTTCGGTTGAAAGAGAAACAATAG